GAAAATCTTAAACAAATGCTGAATTTGCTTAATCAAAAACGAGAGACTGTGACTTTGCAGCTGACAAACAACTCCTGTTTGTGTATGCAGACGTAATTTCCAAATAGCTTCCTTTGGAAAACAAATGAAGATCAAAGGAGGACATGATGGCATGATATTCAAACAGGTTGAGGGAAGAATAATATATAGTTATATAAGCTATTTTATATACAGTACACGCAATAATAATATGAGAAACCAACAGAGGGATTTTTTAAATTTATACATGTAATGAGAAACTGATGTTCTTGCGTTTTTTTAACCTTTTTTTCTACAGCTTTTATCATTTTTTCCTACAAAAATGAAACATCAAAAACATTAAAGTAAAAGCTTATGTATAAGAAATTAGTTATTGCTGGGCTGTTATTGCAGTGCTGTTACCTACTGTAAGTACATTGTCAAATTATTAACTGTCTTTCACAGCAATCGTGTCTAATTACAAAAACAAGGGACTAGAAACTCTATTCAAGGTGACAAAAGACCAAAGTTATTGGAACAAGCTAAATAAAACATTTAATTTGCATAAGGAAAAAGTGAAGTTGTCCTGGCTCCTACATTAGATAAACAAATCAGTTTGCAGGAACAAAGCAAAGTCATTTTTCATGTTGTCGCAATGAAAGGTCAAGAGAATGGACTGAAAAAAATAAATATATTATGTAAGCTGTATAGAAATCATTGTATTGTTTTTCCCATTTTTGATTTCCTTTAAACATTCTTTCTTTTTTAAATTTAGCATCTTGGGTCATTTGACCCAGTGTTTTGTGTTTTTGGGTTAAGTTTTATTCTGTGAATTATGACTTTCTGTTTTTATCATATTTTATAGCTCCTGGTTGTTAGGTTTATGTTTTGTTTCTGTCCTACACTGTAAACCCGAATTAGTTGACTGAACTCAAAACTTTTGTGGAAACAGATTACCTCAAAAGATTTAAGTACACAAACTCATCTCTTCTAAGTATGGGGGTACTCAAAATTTGTATTTATTGGTAACCTAAAAATGTAAAATTATATTTTATATTTTATTAATTGAGCTTTACTCAAAGACTGTATACTTTATTTTAAAATGTTTGTGTTTCTTGTAGTTTATTATTTTGATGCAACACAATGCAATTATATTACAACCTAAACTCAAATTACATGATTATTAATTAAAAGATATTTATGTTTCAATGTTTGAGTGTAGACTACTAAATAAAAAAAGTATGGAAATTCAGTTACTTTACATTTTGTTTATTTAACATTTTTTCATGAAAATTTAAAAACATCACAAATGTTTTTTATAAAACCACTAACATGGACATGGGCACCATAAAGTGAGCATTACAAATTCAGTGTAGAACATTTGTCTTTTTATAAAATTACAAAAGACGACATCAGTCCTAATTGCAACTTTCTCAAAATACAAAAAATGCAAAACAAAAAGTCAAATACTAATCACTTTTTTAAAAATAGAAATGAAAAACAATTTTTTTAAAATGGGTACAAAGACGATCAGCTTCCAAATAACCAGATAAGGCAGTCAAGTATAGGAAAATTAGGTAAACTGATGGAGTTAAATCCACCCAAAGCCTGCAGTAAACTTAAAGTGCTTCAAACAAAGTGCTCAGTAACAGAGTGCATGTCCTAACAAACATTACCTTATATTCCTTAAGAGCATGTAGGCAGGGGTTTCAGGGGTTTGCCGTCATCAAACCCCATGAAGATATTTTGGACAAAGGCAAATGTGGGAACCAGCTTCCTGTGGTCGTCTAAATACAGAGCATAGATCAAGCCAAACAACAAAGCAAATGCATCTGCAAATCTGGGAATATCACGCATCACCTAGTCGCCTTTCACCACAACAGCCATGCTTGAGGAAGTAAAATGGACTGGACTGGCCGTCGGTAACCACAGTGAGAAGGGCAACTGGAGTGTCATTTAGGGTCGACTCATCCAATGCGTCTGCCTGGAATAGACACAGTATCAATGGTAAATGGCCTGTATTTGTATAGCGCTTTACACATTCAGTCATTCACCCATTCACACACACATTCACACACTGGTGATGAAAAGCTACATTGTAGCCACAGCCGCCCTGAGGCACACTGACAGAGGCGAGGCTGCCGGACACTGCGGCCAGCAGG